TTCCCTTCCCCCCCACTTTCTTACATCATTCTTTTGGCTTCCAGTTGTGTTAGAAAGAACATTAGGATCTTTGCTGTGGCTTAAAGGTCCTGCATTGCCTGGCCCTTGCCCCCCTCTTCAGCTCCATTTAACTACGTTCCCTCTCCCCTCTGCTTTTACTCCCTCTGAAGGCCTTTCTGGGTAGTTTATTCCTGCTCATTTTTTGTGTCTTCACTTAACTCTCATTTTCCTATGGAAGCACTCTAATTCATATGCCCTGTCACCAAATCTGATAGTACCATATACAGATTGTAACACTAATAACAGTTGTAATTTTACTTTTATTTTTTGTGATCAGTTTTCTCCACTAGACTGTAAGCTCTCTCAGTACAAGGATTATGTCTGCTTTTGTTCACCGCTATATTTCCAGCGTAGTGCTTGGCATATAGTAAGCAAATAGCAAACATTTTGAATGAATTATGTACATTAATTTATCTTTTCTAATTTTTAAAAGTAATTTCTGTATACATATTTACCAGTGTAGCAATGCGGTTTCCATAGTTTTATGTGGACCCAATCCTGATGGTACTCTTACTGAAAATAATAAAGATACGTTCTGAAGAATTTCATATATATTTTTTAAAGGATCAAATGCATAAAAGTCTTACTTTGATCTAGCTCATAATTTATCCTCCTTCATGTTCTTAATTTACTTTTTCTATATTGACATATTCTATGGAGATATCAAATATCTTACTAAGTCTAGTATTGTGAGCAAGTAACATATATGCAGTATCTAGCACAATTCAGCAGACTCTCAACTTGCTCATTAGTTTATAGGTATCACGATTAAAAATAGTTTAGCCATCTGCTAACTGACCGGACAATTTTAGTATTGTGAAAGGGTGTGGTAGGAGAGGGAGATACAGGGTCTAGGTATAATGTCAGAATGAGGCTCAATGCAGAAACCACCTTGTGACCTCTTAATACTGAAACTTAAGAGTCAGTTCAAAATTAGGAAGAGATTTGGTGGAGGTTAAGCACAGCAGAGTCCTGACAATGGGGGATTTCCCAGAATAGGGTGACAGAAGAATTTCTTTCAGCCTTTTAAAATTTCGCTGAATATTTTTTAGATAAAAAATACGTATAAAGATGTGATTCTGTGAAAATTACCATAATATGTATTTAATATGTAATAAATATTTCTAGGAATCAATTTGAATTAACTAGCCTTTTATATTTTACTCTTTCATTAGGAAAATCAATAGATTCCCAGTCATCTCGAAGTGAATCTGAAATTGTGCCAAAAGTTGCTAAAATGACTGTATCTGGAAAGAAGCAAACTATGGGATTTGAAGTGCCTGGGTAAGGTTTTTAACCCCTCCCCCCTTTTTTGAAATTAGTATTGTCTCCTTGTTAGACTGTAAGAAAGAGAATCTATTTCAATTTTGCATAATATAATCATTGAAGTATAATGGGTCCTCAGTATGGCAGAGTACAAAGAAAAGGGGATGAGAAATTAAGCTTGATTCTAGACTTACCTATGTATATTAACCTACCTCACTGTCAGTTTCCTTATACAAATTAAATATAGCTACTTTAACGTTAAAAACCTATGATTTTGTGAAATCTAGCGCTGTGAGGTAGGGAATCCTTTGCCACTAGATGGCGTAAGTAAGCAGTGTTTGGGAATTAAATGTAGTTAATGTAGTTGGTGAATCAAGGAATCATTAATTAAAATTTTTTACTATTATCTTTAAACTCTTTTAGATTTTCATACTGAATAAAATGGATCAGTATAACAAAGACAAAATATAAAATAAAACTTAACTAGAATTGCAAATATCTAGTGAGAAATGATAATAAGTCATACTTTAGTAGCACTCATTTATTCTTTTCACAGTCTTTAGGATTCTCTCAGGAGTTTTTATAGACAAGGGAGGTGGGTTGCTTGAGGCATAACAGCACAGTTTAAAGACATTAACTTTAATTTTTTTTTTTTTTTTTTTTTTTGCTGCACCGTGCAGCATGTGGGATCTTAGTTCCCCTAAAGACATTAACTTTAAACTTCTTTAAAAGTTTTCAGGTTTTTCAATCATTTCCTAAATCTATTATTTATAAATTATATATATTTTGTCTATCAGACATGAAACACTATTATCAAATATAAACAATAGAGGATTTTTTCCCCCCAATTTCAGGAAATACAAACTCAGCAGCCATTTTTTTCTCCCTTATAACATTCTTTTATGTAAATTAATAGAAGTATCCATGAGTCTTGGTTGGGAAGAATGTTAATGATTACCTAGTTCATTTTTTTAAATTTTTTTTTATTTTCTAGAAGCAAGACTTTATTCATTAGATTTCAAATTTAGAGAGGGAAAGAAGTCCATATCTAGGACATAGTAGGCATTCAGTATATGTTAGTTAAATGGATGAATGAAAAAGTTAATTTTTAATTTGAGTAACTTTAGCCCGTTAAAATAATTCTGAATCCTGATTCAGTAACAAAAAGCTCAATGTATGTCTTCTCTCTGAATGAAGGTTGGGTTGTAAGAATCATAAGTACCTTTTTTATTCTCATGTCTTGAGTGCCATTTAATCCTATTATGGAATTATTTTCATTGAGAGAGGAAAAAATAGAATACACAATTCCTTGTTCTAAGGATTTTATAATCTTATGCAGAAGGTTTCAGAGGCTTAGAAAGCAACATGCAGATGAGCATAGTACAAAGAAAAGGGAATGAGAAAATAGGCTTGATTCTAGACTTGTCTAGGTATATTAATCTATATATTAGAAGTAAATGCATAGTTATCTATGTGAATATTTATAAAAATAATGGGTAATAAATGATCAAGAAAAAATAAATAGTAAATATAAGTAAATAATTCTTAGAAACCCACCTCTATGCTTTACAAGTATTATGCAAGCGTTTCAGAATCTTACAAGACTATATGCTTCATGAGGACAGGGACCATTAATGTTCATCATCATATTCCTTTCATAGAGGACAGGGACCATTAATGTTCATCATCATATTCCTTTCATAGAATAGTTGTTTAAATATTTATTGATCAGAGTCCTTGGAGAAATACATTTTATTTTAAAAATAAACCTGGAAATAGTATAAAGGTAAAAAGCAGCCTGTGAGCCAATATTTTGATGTGGCCCTGTGGGAGAAGTCATCAGAATGTGAAAGGTCTGCAAGTACAAATGGAGATACTCAGAATGCATATTGTTGCTCAAGGACCAAGCTCTATTAACTTCAAATATTTTTATAGGATTTTGGGGGGAAATTTATAGTAGGGATAATACTTAGGCTGTTGTTTTGATTTGGTCTCAAGAAAGCACAGAGAAACATAAACACTTTTTTTTTTTTTTTTTTTTTTTTTTTTT